GAAACCTGGGATCAGAATCCTGAGAGCACCAGTGCATGTGAATGTGGGATTTCCATACATGGCTATTCCCTGCCCATCACCTGTAGGGTGCACCTGACTTTAACTTGGGGGCTGTTGCTATTGGTTAGAGAAAGTATTTGGTTGGAAAATGACAAAGCCACTGTCTACATCATAGGTCAACAAACTTTTGTTTTTCTATAAAGAAAGCCAGATAGGAGATACTTAAGGCTCCATTACTACTCCTCAACTCTGCTGATGTAGTGTGAAAGCAACCCCAGACCATATGTAAGTTAATGAGCATGGATGAGTTCAAATAAAATGTTATTTACAAGAACAGGTGGCAGGCTGGATTTGGCTCCCAGGCTGTAATTTGCCAACCCCTGATCTAGATTTGTAAAGGCATTTCTGCTATGCCTTGTGAGACTTAAGACTCAACTCTGATGGTTTGGTATATGAGACTGACAGACACTCCCCAAATCAGAACAAATATAAGTGCAGTGGATGACAGCAGCCATCTGTTGAAATGATAAAGATGTTTTCTCTAAAAGATTGGCTGAGCCAATCGAGACTGAACAATTATTGACCCAACTAACATGCAGTTTTATTGAACTCTGTTTGAAGAAAAATCAGGAACTTGAAAGCAAGAATGTGTTAGTATTTATCCAGTAATGTGTGTGTGTGTGTGTGTGTGTGTGTGTGTGTGTGTGTGTGTGTGAAAGAGAGAGAGAAAGAAAGTTTCAACTTTCCAATGATTCATGAAGACCTACCTTGGTGGTCTGAATGGAATGGCCCCCAAGATGGTCAGCCTCCAAATACCCATATGTCAGCCTTTCTTTGTGTGTTCTGTCTTCCCTGGTTTGCTCTTGTAGAGAAGAATCATCCTGGATTGTGCTCATGAATATTCAAGTCACTGGAAAAAACAAATTCACACTGTAAAAAATAAAATGATGTCCTGTTTATATATTAGTCTTTTGGTATATGAATCTGGTTAGTATGAGTCAGTCCCTGGAAACCTAATGTCTTCTTAAAATCCTGAGAGAAGAATTTCTAGGACTTCCCTGGTGCCACAGTGGTTAAGAATCTGCCTGCCGGTGCAGGGGACACGGGTTCGAGCCCTGGTCCGGGAAGATCCCACGTGCCATGGAGCAACAAATTCCGTGCGCCACAACTACTGAGCCTGCGCTCTACAGCCTGCGAGCCACAACTACTGAGCCCTCATGCCACAACTACTGAAGCCCGCACACCTAGACCCTGTGCTCCACAACAAGAGAAGCCACTGCAATGAGAAGCATGCACACCACAAGGAAGAGTAGCCCCCACTCACCACAACTAGAGAAAGCCCACGCGCAGCAACAAAGACCCAACACAGCCATAAATAAATAAACTAATTAATTAAAAAAAAAAAGAATTTCTAGTCTCTCAAATGCTGAAGACCAGCCTGCACTAGGGTGATCCCACAGCATGTGGCCCTTGGAAGCCTTGTTTGGAGGTTGGTTGGAATCATGACATCTCCAGCATGTCTTTTTTTTTTTTTTTGGCTGCAACATGGTTATATTCCTCCTGACCTAGGCAGAGGGTATGTCTGCTGTCACTTGATGTAGACATGTAAACTTACAGGGAACCAAAAGGCAGACAACAGAAATTTTATCCTGGAAAGTGGATGTGGCTATTAAAACTAGGCTGTTAGTCAAGGGGCTCAGTGAGCAGTGCGTTTAAAGGGCTAGAGCTGGAAACTTTTGTTTTAACTATCATATAATCCAGGAGAGACAAAAATCAGTTTACAAGTACTTGAGCATATTTTATTGTATGGGCATTGTAGTCAGGATTGGTTAGGCTTATGCTGTGCTAACAATTCTCAGATTTCAGCGGCTTAACAAAGAAACATTTATTCCTGCTCTCACAGAGTCTACTTGAGTGAGTGGGAAATGAGGATGGAGGGAGGGGTCTGCTCTCTTCTTCACTCGGCGACCCAGGCTGATGAAGACTTCACCACCTGGAATGTCAACAGTTGCTGCAACAAGGGAAAAGAGAACCTGGAGAATCACATAGGGGCTTTTAAAACATTATTTCGTCCAACATTTCATTAGCCTGAATATTGGTCACGTAGCCCACCTGTTTCAAAGGGGCGTGGGGATGTAGTCCTCTGTGTGTCTATCACAGGCACAGGGAGCCGAGAAGACCGTCTGAGACATGGTTGGAGCAGGTGGAGGAATGAAGGAAAAACACCAGCTTGAGAAAGAGGAAGGACAGCCTATCTGCTTCCTGGTAGGTTGCCTAGTTCTCTGTCTGAACTCTCCCAAAGTTCCGATCATATTGGGGGATGGGGGGAAGGGGGCGTTTTCCAGTTGAACAGATAGGAAATCTAAGACAAGCCAGGGAGCTGCTGCTCAGAAGCCATTTTTATCTAATTAATTTCACAAAAACAGAGTAACTCCTCCCCCAAGATTCTGTCTCTACTAAAAATCCTAAGAGCCAAGCTCCTAAAAGCATCCTTCCAGAAGGGTGATAGGGCTATAATATCCTCAGATTCCTTCCTTCCTTCCCTTTGTTGTTAAGTCTCTTGAGTTTAGGGACACCACTTAACCACTAGTTGTATAAGAGAAACGACATGAGCCAAGCTAACTTTAATTGTTCTAGTCTCCTGTTTTAACTGACAGCACAGCTATTCCCTATGCCTATATACAAAATAAGGAAACTAGAGGATGAGGGAGTCAGGAGAGAAGAAGGAGCAGTGATTCCAGAGATGACATACCAGTGGGCATCCTTCTCAATTTTCCGGCAGACCACTGAATGGTTGAGTTGAGCTGGATTCATTTAAAGAGGCTGGATGGGATGAACAGAGAAGAAATTGTGGGGATGTAGGGCTCTTTAGGCCTTTCTATTTTGGGGTGAGAAAAGAACTCACTAGTCATTTGTGATACCCATGGATTGAATCACATTTTCCCACAAAGCAAGGCTGGCAAAATTTTGGCCAACCTGGTAGAGAACTCTGGAATGAGAATCACCCATCAGAGTTGCCCCCATCAGGCCAGACTGGCCAGGGCCCTGTGCCCTCACCTCCCTCAGTCTCTGCCTGGGGCTGCCTGGGGAAGGGCATGACCTCATGCAAGCACTCCTTGGAGTTGAGCATCGACTCATTCCTTGAAGGGTGTCTAGGCAGCACCTCTCCACATCTGCCACAGCTTTGTGCTCATTGTACTCTCCTTGCTTTTTAAATTTTCACTTTGAGAGGAAGTCCAGAGATCTAGCCAGATTGTAGAGTTAGACTGTCTGGAAATTCCAGCAAAAATATCTGGCTTGGATGGAAAGCCTGGGGTGTAATCAGCTTACGTGGTGACCCATTTCCCCTCTCACTGGTTAGCTACTAAGCGGATTTTCTTCCCTGAGGTCTTTTATAGAATATAATGTATATCATGAATCTTAGGGGAACCCATGGAATTTCAATAGTCATCAGAAAGTACCCCAGGTAATGGAAAGCAGACTCTCTTCCAGAGTCTGTTGGTGTGGGAGGCGAATTAAACTTTATTGGGCACCTACTTTATGTTAGGTACTTTATTTTGCATAATATTAATATTTCCTAGAAACACTATAAAGAATTCATTAATTTTCTCACTTTGCACAGGAGAAACCGACTTTCCAAAGATCTCAAGACTAGGAAGTATAAGCTAGATAGAAGACCCCATGGGACCGGATCTATAACAGTATTGCTCACCATGGCCTTCCTTGCACCTAGCAAAGGTGTGGCTTAGAGCAGATGACCAATATATATTTGTTGAATGAATGAAGAATGGCAGATCAAATATACAAAACCACATATTATCTCACTTAAAAAATTTTAACTGGGCTTCCCTGGTGGCGCAGTGATTGAGAGTCCGCCTGCCGATGCAGGGGACACGGGTTTGTGTCCCGGTCCGGGAAGATCCCACGTGCCGCGGAGCGGCTGGGCCCGTGAGCCATGGCCGCTGAGCCTGTGCATCCGGAGCTTGTGCTTTGCAACGGGAGAGGCCACAAAAGTGAGAGGCCCGCGTACTGCAAAAAAAAAAAAAAAAATTTAACATAAGAAATACACAGCGTTCAGGGAAGATTTATAACATGTGAAATACACAGCATTCAGGATAAATTATGTGATCTAGGATAAGAAACATGCTTTGATTTAATCAGAAAACACAATCTCGTGGTTTAACCTCTGTACCGTGATGCTTCTCTGATTCTGGTCATCCAAGCAGCAGGTGCAGCTGTCTTAACGCAGAAGAAAAATGAATCCACCACGCGAGGTGCTGGGGAGATTACCACTGATAGGAGTGGTTGCAGAATTACTTTGTTAACCATTATCTGCATTCACTTTTAGAGACTGGTTGAAAATTCTAGGTTACAGAAGCCAATTGTGATTGATGAAGTATTAGATGTATTCTGGCCAAATCTCCTGAACCATAGTGCTCAGGATAGCATTACCTGTTTGTTTCTCAGATCTTTTTGTTTGTTTGTTTGTTTTTTGCGTTACGCGGGCCTCTCACTGTTGTGGCCTCTCCCATTGCGGAGCACAGGCTCCGGACGCGCAGGCTCAGCGGCCATGGCTCATGGGCCCAGCCGCTCCGCGGCATGTGGGATCTTCCCGGATCGAGGCACGAACCCGTGTCCCCTGCATCAGCAGGCGAACTCTCAACCACTGCGCCACCAGGGAAGTCCTCTCAGATCTTTTTTATGAGACTGAGGGGAGGCAGTATCAGGACTGAATTGGACATCTGGCTTATAGTTTGCTCTCTGGACTCAAAAACCAGAAAAACGGTAAATCTTCTGACCTTAGTTAAGAGACATAGCTCCCTCTTCTGGGTTCTTACTGAGCTTGTGATATGGGCCATAACAGACCTCAGAGCATCCAGGGGCTTTGCTGCTGCTGTGCTGACCTACATCATTATGGATTACCAATAATAGGATTTGCCACTCGGAAGCTTGGACTATACTTATTCAAAAACTCATAAGGTAGTTTCTCACAGAAGAACATGGCTTCAGTTTCTCACTATTTCTTGCTAGTTCTGGTCTTTCTGGATTCACATGCAGCTCAGCTATCCTGTCTGCCAGGATGTACCTGCTCAGAGGAGAGTTTTGGCAGGTGCGCTGGGCTAACAGGATCCCAGTAGGGGACGGGCTTTCTTTGGGGATGGTGTGAAGTGGGAGCAGGCCAAGATTTGGCAGGAAATCAGCAAAATCTCTGTGAGACTCCCTCTAACCGGTGCTGAGCTTTGATAAACTGCGCGCTTTTACCAAAATGGGTCTAACTCTTGTATTTCAAGAGAATCGTATTATTTCCTTCTAATGCATATGTCTAATGCCAGGATAAGCCTGATCCCACCTCCCAGTTTCCTGATGTACATCTCAAAGCTATTGTGGTTTTTTGTACAGGACTCTGCAGTGCGTGTCTATCACTTTGGGAAAGATCCCGAGGAAACTTCCTGAAGAGTTCAAGCAAGTGAGAATTGAAAATTCACCCTTATTTGAACTGCCCCGAGGGTCTTTCATCAACATGAGCACCTTGGAGTACCTTTGGCTCAATTTTAACAATGTCACTGTGATCCATCTAGGAGCCCTGGAGCACCTGTCAGAACTGAAAGAGCTGAGACTGGAGGGCAACAAACTCCGCTCAGTACCATGGACGGAGTTCCGTGCCACCCCGCTCCTGCGGGTCTTGGACCTCAAACACAACAGGATTGATGCACTCCCTGAACTGGCTCTTCAGTTCTTGGTCAACCTGACCTACCTTGACCTATCCTCCAACAGGCTTACAGTTGTAGCCAAGAGTGTCTTCTTGAACTGGCCAGCCTACCAGAAACACCGGCAGCCTGGCTGTGAGACCGAGATTCTCTCCAGCATGATGCTGGCGCTGCACGACAACCCCTGGTTATGTGACTGTCGCCTAAGGGGACTTGTCCAGTTTGTAAAGTCCATCAGTCTTCCAGTAGTCCTGGTGAATCCCTACCTCACGTGTCGAGGTCCTCTCTCCAAGGCAGGGCAGCTTTTTCACGAAACAGAGCTCAGTGCTTGCATGAAGCCGCAGATCTCAACCCCCAGTGCCAATGTCAGCATCCGGGTGGGACAGAATGTGACCCTGCGATGCTTGGTACAGGCTAGCCCCTCACCAACTATTGCCTGGACTTATCCCCTGAGCAAGTGGAGGGAATTTGATGGTAAGTGCATGCACCCTCTCCACGTATCTTGGCGGGGGGCGGTTGGGGAGGTCTGTAGCAACCCCGCCCTCAATAGAGAAGTTCTAAACTGGGTCAATCATGAAGGAGGGGTGCAGGTAAGACTGGGACAGACCTGAATTATACTCACCACGACAGAAAAAATTCCGAGACAGTGTTCCACTATTGGCATTATTTTATTATTATTATTATTTGGTCATGCGACTCAGTGAAAGCCCGGAATCCTAACCACGAGGCCGCCAGGGAACTCCCTATTGGCATTATTTTACATGGTTGCGTACAGATCTCTATAGGATATAAGATGTAAATATATGTACTCCATATAATATATATTTATATATTTGTTGCATACAGATCTATCTATCAATATAATATATATTTGTTACACACATATATGTATAATATATATCTATATATTTTTGCATACAGGTCTCTATAGGAAGTAAGATGTAAATATATATATTACATACATATTTGTTGCATATATATATATTTGTTGCTTATAGATCTTGATAGGATGTAAGATGTTAATATATATGAATTGACTTAACAATATTGTATTGATATAAATACTATAGAATTGTATATGAACACATATATTCTTTGAAAGCCTTCTAGATGCAAAAAAACCATACCGTGTATTTTTAAATCAGAGAATTTCTGACTAGAACTGATTCTAGAGATTATCTATTACTTATTTCTTAAACTTCTCTGAGCAGAATCACCTGGGGTGCTTGTTTCAAATAAAATTTTCAGGCCTCTCCCTGGAGATTTGATTCCGTTAGTCCAGGGGAGGGCCTGAGAGAATGTATTTTAACAAGTGTTTCCTCCCTCTGCCATTGCCTACCCCCCAGCTAACTCTTACTAGGCAAGGTTGGGAAGTCCTAGATATTGACTGAATTTTGCACTTCCTACCGCTGTGTTGATCAGACCTATTGGCTTGAAGTTGCCATGCTGGGACCCAGGGAGAGGGAGTGACCTTCGTGGGCCCCACCGCTGGGATTCTAAACTGCCTCTCATTTCCTGAAGTTCATGCTCTGTTATCACACCTCAGCTGAAATCACCTTTAATGCCACCCTTCAGCGTTGGGGTACATCACAAAGCCAGGGATGGCCTCTTTAGAAGTATCTCGATGCTATCTAGAAGACAACTAGAAATATCTAAGTGAAACTTGAGAAGTACAATCAGTCACCCAGATATTTGTTATATATGGTGACAAACTCTGGATGATTAAAAAATACTTAATTAGCTGAAATTTTGACTTTTTCCTATCATTTGATTACGTCTCATAGGCTTGAGGTTAAATACCAATGAAGGAGAAACATAGGATCTGTTGTCGTAGCCTCTTTGAGAATGATGAGATGCATCCAGATGTTATCTTTTGTGATGTTCTATTATCATTCTCTTTGGTACCATGTTAGATCCATTCTCTTAGTAATAATAACAGCTAACACTTACTGAGCACTTACTATCAAACTTGTGGAGTAAATACTGTTATCATCCCATTTTACTGATGAGGAAATTGAGGCCAAGAGAATCTAAGCAACACATCCAAGACCATATATTTAGTAATGGATAGAATCCAGGCACTTGGCTCCAGGCTCTGAGCCACTCTACATCCTGGAGGTAAAAAGGCACTTCCTGAAGCTCACAGTATTGTACAATCGCACTGTTGTTAGCGATCTCCTGGAAACCACGTGTTAGCTCAGCGAGACTAAGGTCGTTTGGTGGGAGGAGCTAGTGAAGTTAAAAGAGTGTGGTCTGGGGCTTCCCTGGTGGCGAAGTGGTTGAGAGTCCGCCTGCCGATGCAGGGGACACGGGTTCGTGCCCCGGTTCGGGAAGATCCCACATGCCGCGGAGCGGCTGGGCCCGTGAGCCATGGCCGCTGAGCCTGCGCGTCCGGAGCCTGTGCTCCGCAACGAGAGAGGCCGCAACAGTGAGAGGCCCGCGTACCGCATAAAAAAAAAAAAAAAAATAGAGTGTGGTCTTCCTAGACAGAAGAACTAGGTTCCAGATCAATCGACACCCCTGAACGATTCTCACTGTAGGCAAGTTGCTTAATCACTCTAGTCCCCAACTTCCCATGCGTAAAATTTGGGTGCTTACCTTACAGGATTGCTGAGAGGCAACACCTGGCGCCTAGTACATGCTTAATAAATGGTCGCCACCACCTTTTAACAAAAAACTGGCATTGCTGGACACTCTCCAGCTGACTGTCTATCAGAGAAATGTCCACCTGAGCTGTTTTGCTGTCTCTCTACCCAGTGTTGACCTCGTCCACTGCAGAAGATGCTGCTCTGTCGGAGCTGGTCATACCTGCTGCCCACCTGGTAGACAGGGGCAGTTACACCTGTGTAGCCTCCAACTCCATCGGCAGGAGCAGCTGTGTCATCTCCCTCCACGTCCAGCCCGCCCAGGCCGCGCCCACACTCCATTCTCTTTTCTCCACTTCGGAGGGCAATGCCTACGTTGACCTGCGGGTGATTAAGCAGACAGTGCGTGGGATCGTGCTGGAATGGTTTGTGGCGGCCGACACCCCTGAGAAGTGGTTCACCCTCTACATTGGGTCGGAAGAAGCCCGCAGGAAGGAGGTCATTCATGTCGGCCCAGGAATCAGCACATACTTGGTGGATGATCTCCTCCCCGGCACAAAATATGAGGTCTGCCTTAGCCTGGGGCGCCAGCCCCCACGCCAGGGCCGGTGTGTGGTCTTTGTGACGGGCCGAGACCACGGCGGGCTGGAGGGACGGGAGCGCCTCCTGCACACCACGGTGATCCTGTGTGCTGTGCTGCTCTCGGTGCCTGTGGGCGCCTATGTCTGGGCAGTCCAGGCTCCCTGCAGCTGCAGGGAGTGGGGCCTGCGCTGCTGTCCTCATCGCAGGAAAGCCCCCAGATGCCCCCTGGCAGTCCCAGAGCACAGGGATGTCTCCTACAGAGACCACACAGCTGTCTGTGAAGATGGCCTGGGGCACAGAGGTGCTGAGGGGGAGGGGGACGAGGAGAGAGATGAAGAGGGAGATAGTGGCCCGGGAGGAATGGTGTGGGCCTCCAGCCCCTAAATTAAATCTCTGTGGCAGCTCAACTTGGCTTGACCCATTTAGTCAACAAGTATTTATTGAGCAGCTGCTCAGTTCAGGGCTCTGAACTTGACACAATGATCCAGGAGACACAATTCTTATCTTCACAGAACTGGTGCCAATGGACCCTTGTCCAGTTATCCATGGTGACTCGAAATTAATAAATGTTATTTTCTAAATATCTAACCCTATAACATTTACATGTTTACATGGAACATTTACATATAACACATTTCACACGTGTTATCCTCCTGCAGAAAGGTAGGATTCTAGCCTTTGTTACAGGTGAAGAAACAGAAGCCCAGAAAGTTACAATGACTTGACCAATGTCACCCAACTAGTAGGCAGGAGGCACCACCCAAAGAGGTTCTAGCTCCACTGTTTCCTTTAAATGTTTGCTTTGAAGTCTCTTGTGTCTCCGGTTGTTCAGAAAGTATTGTTCTTCCTTTTAACAGCAAACTCCCAACTGAGATCACATAAGTTTGATGTTCTAAAAAGCTGCCTTTTGGGGTGATGAGAGCCTGGTGGGTGATGTGAGTCTCTATTTGTGGGTGTCTGTGTCCCTGTGAGCAGTCCTTGGTGCTCCTGAGAGCCTGGTGCTATCAGCAGTGAGGAACAGGGGACTGGCTGCAGCCCGGGGCTCATGGTCCAGTGATTGATGGAAAGCAGGGTCACAGGAGCCCTATTTGGAAAGAAAAGAATTTATATAAAATCATATAACTATAATTATTATTATTGCTCTTATACTTATTACAAAGAGGAGGCTACACAGTCCTGATTCCCACCTAGTTTCATGCGATTGTGAGATTAAGGCTTATTTTTTCAGCCCTGTGTCCCTAGTATCGCAGTGCTGAGTGTGACAAATGTTTTTATATGAATAAGGAAATAATCCGCACTCCCTTCCCCATTTAATGTTCCAAGCTCTCTTATTAAACCCCTGAGAGGTGGTTGTTTCCTCTTACGGGGCTCACGTGGAGTGTGGGGACAGCTCACTGTCCCTGCACGCACCCCTGCTAGTGAAGGTCTTTCCCAGGATTTAAACCGACATCTGTGTCCTCACAGCTTCTCCCGCTGGCCACAGGGAGACGCTCTGAAGACTCAAGTGTGAGCTGACCCCCTTGTGACATCCCCAGAAATATTTTCTCTCTCCTTCCCACCTTCCTTACCAATTCCTACTCATCCTTCCAGACCCATCTCATGTATCACGTCTTCCAAGTAGCCCTCCTTGACTTTACATGTCTAGGAAAAAGAAATAATGAGTGGAACAGGATATGCAATGTCTTTGTTACTTGCAAGCCCTTTGGGGCAGAGAGTGACCTTTCTTGCTGTAGCTGCTGGGCTCATCCAATACCTGGACTGTGTTGATAATCAGTGCTGGTTATGATGAATTTTTAAAAAATTGAAGACAGCTCTCATATTCAGACCAATTGTTACCTCACTTCTTCAAGTTCTCCTCATTTATCTTTTTCTGAGCACCAGAAGCTTTTTCATGGAAAATTTCTGTCACACCAAAAGTGGAGGAAATCTTGTTCTTCTCTTCAGTCAGCTTCCGTAATTTTTTTTTTTTTTTAACATTTTCCACTCTTACTTCATCTAGTCCTTGCTCTCAACAGGTTTTTTAAACTGGAGTATTTATGGTAAATACAAAACTCACCTGTGAATATTTTAGTTCTATCTCCAAACAGATAATGAAGTTTCAAAAAGACACGACCACAATTCCACTGTCACACCAAAGAACATGAATTTTTTAACTATATGTACATATATATAGTTATGTATACATATGTGTACAAATAACACACACATATAAGTAATGTAGCGGAGAATTTTTTTATGAGAGATTTCCCATGATAAATTTAGAAAAAAAGTGGTCGGAGCAGGGTAAGAACGTACTTCCATTGGCCTCTGCGTACTCCTTTCATAGGCTCAAAGGCTGTCCGTGGGTCATGAGGGGGCGCAGTCATCGTGAAGTGGCCTGGGGCTACCTTGAAGGCAGGAGTGGAGGCTTTGGCCTCCACTTCGGGCAAAGAAAGCTTCGTGGTGGGTGTGGGCAGAGGGATAGGAGGAGGGAAGGGGCTGCGGAAGAGGAGTGTGGGTAGCAGGGAGAGTCAGGAGCATATCCTGAGCAGGGGCAGTGTTCAGCTGCGTCTGTGACATGGAAATTTAGGGAGAGGGAACATAATCTAGAGAGGATTTCTGAGAATCTGATATTTTAAGACCCTTAGACTGCCCCTTAAAAAATCCTGAAGATGGGGCTTCGCTGGTGGCGCGCTGGTTGAGAGTCCGCCTGCCGATGCAGGGGACACGGGTTCGTGCCCCGGTCTGGGAAGATCCCACATGCCGCGGAGCGGTTGGGCGAATGGGCCATGGCCGCTGAGCCTGCGCGTCTGGAGCCTGTGCTCCGCAACGGGAGAGGCCACGACAGTGAGAGGCCCGCGTACTGCAAAAAAAAAAGTCCTAAAGATGCACGTTAGATCCATTAGGCAATATGATGGTAGGGGTAATAGCACCTACCGCATAAGGTTGTCCTGATGCTTGTATGAATTTTTACATGTAAAGATCTCAGAACAATGCCCGGCACATAGTAAGCCCTCAATAAGTATCACCATTTAAGGCATCCATGTCCATTTGTGTTTTCTCTGAATGTGACTCAGAAGACAGACTGGTCATTTGGAACAGCAGATCTTATTAGGATTACATATGTGTGTCTATGTAGAAATACATGCATATATGTATAAATACATATAAAGACAGGGTATCTATGCTAATGTCCTTCACATTCTGTTTAATTAATGCTTAATTAATGTTTTGTTCTGTATAAATAGTGTTTCAAATATGCTATAGTTTTAGATTCAGTTGTCATGCTCTTGGGAATCTGTTTAGAGCTTAGACCAGGTCTTTTTAAGGTAAGTGCCTTTGATACAGGAGACATTTGTAAGCAGGGCTACTTGCTTTTAGAATGAAGCCATTGCTAGTCCTAGGCATCTGTTATTAGCAACTTGAGAGAGGTGTTTTGTCCTTTTTTCTTTTTGCTTGTTAGAGCCTGTGTCCCTCACACCTACAAGAGGGCCTGACACAGATGATATACTCAGAAATTGTGTTATTGAAAGAATGATTGAGTAAATTATTGATTAATAAATAAATGACTGGACCTCACTCAGCCAAAGAGGTGCATTTGTACAATTTTATAATGTCACCAATATCACCAGCCCATTGCTACAAAATAAGGTCACTTACTTTATTGATCAAATTATGGTTGCTTAAGCCTTACCCACTTCATTCTAGAAACTAAGACGTTCTATTTTTTAAAAAAAATTATTTATTTTATTTTTGGCTGAGTTGGGTTTTAGTTGTGGCACGCGGGCTCAGTAGCTGTGGCGCGCGGGCTTAGTTACCCCGAGGCATGTGTCACCTTAGTTCCCCGACAAGGGATCGAACCTACATCCCCTGAATTGGAAGGCGGATTCTTAACCACTGGACCACCAGGGAAGTCCCAGAAACTAAGACCTTCTGAGCACTGTCCCTCACCCAGTTATTTCTGTGAATCTCCTAAGGGGTCCTCCCTGTGTCCACATGCCAGTCAGCAGTCTTAGTCCTCACCTGGCATCCTCCCCATTCTCTCTGCCCATCTTCCCACACTCGGGGCCCTTGAAGACTGTCGGGGAAGTATTCCTGCTTGCCAACAGATGCCAACATCCATGCTGGGTGAGCTGACCCAGGATTTTCTCAAAACTTCCAGTCCTCATGGTGGAGAGGGATAAATTGGGAGATTGGGATTGACATGTACACACTACTATACATAAAATAGATAACTAATAAGAACCTACTGTATAGCCCAGGGAACTCTACTCAATACTGTGTAATGACCTATGGGAAAAGAATCTAAAAAAGAGTGGATATATGTATACGTATAACTGATTCACTTTGCTGTACAGCAGAAACTAACATGACTTTGTAAATCAACTATACTTCAATAAAAATTAACTTAAAAAAAAGCGTCCGGTCGCCAGAGAACCAGGAGACTCCGGCTCCTGCCCAGCTCTTGCCAAACTTCGCCAGCTGGACTCTGGGGGACAGCTGTTCAGTACAGAGTCCCATGGGTCCTCTTAGGGGCAGTCTCATTGGTTCCTAACTCCCTGGGAGCGTAGATGCTCAAACACAATCTGTAGGGCTGCAAAGGTCACAGATGCTGTGGTGTCTGCCCCGCCCTCCCCCACTTGCCTCCTGGTCCACTCTCCTCTCTCTTCCTATCAGAGGGTGGAAACATCCTGGAGGTAAGGATGAGCAGAAGAAATCCTTTCCTCAGGGTATGATGCTGTAGCGTGGGGACCGTCAGCCGTCCTCAAATGCCCTCGTGTACAACTAAGAATAGCGCCTGTCTCCTGAGCTTGTATCAGCAGAAACAAAGCTGGTGGCAGGTGCTTTGCATAGATTAGCTCTTGTCATCCTCATAGCAGTGATTTTTGCATCCTGTACTGATGAGGAAAGTGAGCCCCAGGGATGCTTGGTATCTTGTCCCAAGTCACACTTAGGTGGCAGAACCAGGATTCAGACCCAGGGCTGTCAGATTGTAAAGAGCAATGTTTGTTTGTTTTTTGTTTTTGTTTTCTCGGCCACACCACGCAGCTTGTGGGATCTTAGTTCCTCAACCAGGGATCGAACCCGTGCCCCCTGCAGTGGGAGCACGGAGTCCTAACTACTGGACTGCCAGGGAATTCCCGAGCACGATGTTATTTCATATAATTAGAAAGTCTGAGCTCAACCACAGGAAAAAAGCACACACTGTTCTACAGACTTCTTGGAGTCACATCTGTTGGTTGTCCATCTATCCTTGGGGCCCAGGAGTGGTAGAGCCCACCCAATCTGTTGCCCTTCCCTCCCAGCTCTTTACCTTGAAGTCTAACATTGTGCCTGTCCTAGTGTGACTGCGCAGGCAGTCCCTTGGCCCACACTACTCCCTAGTGCAGTGGCACTTGGCCTGGCCTCATTCCCACTGTCCAGAGGGTCCCCT